GGATGTCTAAAGCAAGTCTAAAGCAAGCCTGGGGTTGTCACACAGCTGATCTACAGTAGGGCCAAGCGCCAGATGACCCCAGGCAGCTGGCCTCCAAGAGCTCAGGAGGGAGCTTTCTTTGTTTGAGACAGGGTCTCCTTTAGCCCAGACTGTCCTCAAACTCACCACTCACCTGGGGATGACCCTGAACTCTGAATGCTCCTCTCTCTACCTCCTGACTGCGGGAATTACAGACCTGCACCACTGCACCTGGCTGGCTGCCCTGCTCACTCCCGCACCCTGTCAGTCTCCTGACATACAGCCCTCTATAGTCCTGTTGTCCAGAGAAGATGCCAGCTGAGTCATTTAAGTTGGCTTGGGCATCACTGTGAAATCTGGCTGCTGCTGTAGGTAGCCAAGTGGTTAAGGTGATGGACAACCTCTCTGCCTTCCCCATTCACTCCTATCCTGGAATGTCCCCTGAATGCCACCCTCTGCTTATGAAGGTCCAGGACACCCACCAACCTTGCCACGGTGCCATGGAAACAGCCCTATATGCCCACCATGGAGGTCAACAGCCCTGGGCTATTGTGGATCCTGATAGCCCAGGAGCCTGTGGGGACAAGCAGAACCTGTATTGCCCCAACCCTACAAGAGTGGAGGCAGAAAGCCCCAGAGCAGAGCGCCCTGGGCTGGGCAGGTCCATGGATAGGACAAGGAACCCAGAGTAACTGAGGGTCCCAGACCAAACCCTTAGAGATGGCAGCATCAGCCAAACTGAGTGAGAAGGCCAAATGAAGGCGTGGTCAGGAAAGCCACTGGCCTTGCTGATGCTTGCTCATGGCTCCACCATTTGGGAAGTGGAGGTGTGGGGATCAGTTCAAGGCCATCAAATCCAGGTGGGGAAGTGGCCCTGGAGTGCACAGGCACAGACTGGATCCTTTGCTATCACTTACAGTTCCCTGGCTCGCATCTGTGGCTCAGGACTCTGACTGGGAACTTCATTTGCAGACAGTAGCTCCTGCAGTCTATTGAGAGGCTGTGTTCATCTGTGCCTGGGGCACCGGAAGCCACAGCTGAAACTTGCAGGGTTGGGTGACTGCAGCTATGCGGGCGCTCACACTTCTCTGTAGATGCTGTAGGCCCCGCACCTTGCCCACTACCCTCCAGCTATGGGCATACACACGTGACCCTTCCAGTACTCCGTTCCCCAGGTCTTGTGTTCCACACTCTGCAAGGGCAGGGGACTAAATCATCACTTCATCACTTCATATGAGTACAGCCCAGTGGCATCCCTGTGGAGGAGGTTGAGACAGGGTCTCAGATAGCCCAGGCTGGCCTCCAACTCCTGGGATTACGGGGGCGTGTCCCTGTGCCCAGCCAAAGGGGAAGACCTTGTGCTGCACTGTGCTCCATTCTCCGCAGCTGGGAGCTCAGTTTCAGGCACTGGAGTTTCCTGAAATACTACATATTTGTTTTGGAGACAGTGTCTTAGTTGCCCCAGGCTGGCCTCAACTTGCTGTGTATCCAAGGGTGACCTTGAAATTCTGATCCTTCTGCTTCTACCTCCCAGTGTGTTAGGATTATAGGCATCATCACCAGAGAGGCCACCATCACCAGAGAGCCATCACCAAAGAGCCACCATCACCAAGGCAACCATCACCAAGACCACCATCACCAGAGAGCCACCATCACCAGAGAGGCCACCATCACCAGAGAGCCACTATCACCAGACATCAGTTTATGCTGTGCTGGGATGGAACCCGGGGCCTTGTGCATGGTAGGCAAGCTCTCTAGCCCTGAGGTACCAATGTCTCCTCTTTAGGGATGATCTGTGAGGCAGCAGGATCCTTTTTGGCTCTCCACCAGCCTATGTGAGGAACCTGTGGTTTTCCCATTTCACGCTCATGAACACAACACAGATTCGATTCAGTGTGTGTGTGTTGGGGTGTGGACTAGTCTGCAGCCACATGAGTGGTTTACAGTGGGAGTGGTTTCCAGCCCTCTGATGTGTCCTGTCTTGCTGTCCTGGACCCCTCTCCCAATTCTTACCTCCTCCTCCCCTCCAGTTGGAGATGGAGGGCTGGTGGTTCCCCTGGAGGTCCTGCCTACCCTCCCAGCTCCAGGTGCCCCTGCCTGAGGCCTTCACTGAGAACATCTGTCATAACAGATGTGGAGTTGCTTTAATCTTCCACCCCCACGGCATAACATGGGATGATATAGTGAGACCCACAGAGCGGCAAGCACAGGCAGAAACACTGCGATGCTAGCAGAAAGAGACAAAGATGGGAGACACCTAGAGTGACAGATTTAGCACCCTTGTCCCTAAAGGCCCAATGCCACAAATCTGACCTGGGCCACAGTCATCTCCGTTGGTTCACGGGAACGAAGTGAGAGGAGAATGCTCCCTGCCTGGTGTGCAGAGCCTAGCAGATGAATTTCGGATCAGGCAAAATCAGATTTCAGCCATGGAACCTACATAGTGATGCCCAAAGGCCTCCTGGATCTCACACCAAATTTTGAGACACCCTAGTCTTCAGGATGGAACTGGGGTGGGAGAGTGGGGTGGGTGGGGGTGGGGGGAGGGTGTCTGCAGGTTTCTACTCACTGCCAGGGACGCCCTGATCCACAGTGGCTCCTTGTCCAGAATGCTTGCCATCATTACCATACACACCAAGCCAGGCTGCCTTCAGAAGCCAGCCCTGGACCCCTCAGGGCTGGGAAGAGGCCTCATGCCTGTGCCAACACACACACACACACACACACACACACACACCCCATATTCCCGCCCTCCGGACAGACAGCACCAACACCCATGCCCCTGCCCCACAGTCTTTGTGGTTCACAGGGAGACAAACATGAGGCTACCTCAGACACAGCAGAGGAGGAGAGGAATGGGCTGTAGAGCTTCAGGACACTTAACCAAGCCTTTGCTCCCTTCGAAACCTGCTAACAGCCAAGGCCTCACCCTCCCTATCAGCCCCCCCCCACCTAAAGGAAGTGATTAGCTGAGCAATTAGGGCACAGGTGAGTCATCTGGTCACAAGGTGGCCTCCTGGCTGACTCAGTACGGCTGGCCCTCCACCAGCCTCCAGCTCAAGCTCTGAGTCAAGGCCTCCATGGGCCCTGGCCAGGAAGCCTTGGAGAAAACTCCTGGCCCCCAAAATGCCCCTAGCTGTTTCCAAGCACTGCTTACCTCCCCCACAGTGATGGCTAAATGGGGGCCCAACCTTCAGTGAGCTAGACTAGGCTACAGTGACTGCTGCAGTATCGTCTCCCACTGCCCCAAGGATATGGTCCTTCACCAGGCACCAGCAGAGAGCTACTATGAGCTATGATGGCTAATTGATCACTGTGACTCTTCAGTGTTACCGAGGCAGGCAGGGTGACACTCACCTGTAATTCCAGCACTCAGAGGCAGAGAAGGAGTGAGCTGGAGGCCCGCTGCCTGGCTTACTTCCCAATACCAGCCTCAGAAGGTAACGACCCTCAGCTCTGTAACTGGCCTTCAGCTCTGTAACTGGCTGGAGGTGGGATGTGGGGTAGGTAACACAGCCGAGTTTCTGCAGAGTGAGGCCCTGACACGCTCTCTCCTGTATGCCTGCAGGGAGGCTCAGAATCTGGGCTCAGGAGTACAGGGACCCTCTGAGATAGCAGGGACCTCCTGGACCACAGCACTTCCCGGTGTCCCAGGCAACCAGGATGAAGACCCTTCCAGTTCCCCTTACTTCTAAATTTAGAAAGCATTGGTTCTCTATGCCCTGGGCCTCCCGGAGGAGGCCAGGTGGTACCCCTCAAGCCTCCCCTGCCCAGGAACCCTAAAGTACCCAGCCATGCCCAGGGGTCATCTAGTCTGGAGAGACTAGATGTACTGTCACAGTTAGCTTCAGGTGTCAATTTGACACATCTGGGAAGAGGGAATCTCATCTGAGGAAACGCCGCCATCAGATCGGCCTGTGGGTATGCTCGTGGAAAATTTTCTTGATTGCTAATTGATGCCAGAGGGCTCAGCCACTTGTGGGCAGTTCTGTCCTTGGGCAGGTGGTTCTGTGCTGTATAAGGAAGGTAGCTGAAGGCCTGAGGAGCTGCCTCACCAACTGGGAGATCACACTACCTTTGTGGAGGACTGGAGTTTGGGTCCCCGCAACCACACAGGGGCTGTTTGCATTAACTCCAGCTCCAGAAATTTGACACCCTCTTCTGGACACTGTGGCCACCTGTTCTCAACAGATATACATACATACTATACACAAGCAAGCACCACGTGCTCACATATGCATACATGCACACAGGAGCAAAATTTAAAACAATTTTTTTATGTGCATTGGTGTTTGGCCATGAGTGTCGGGTCCCCTGGAACTGGAGTTATACACAGTTGAGTTGCTGTGTGGGTGCCATCTCTCCAGCCCCTAAGATAAATCTTAAAAGAAAATAAAAGGTAGCTGAGAAAAGCCATCATTGAGATGCCCCTACCACTGCCCCTCCGAGGTCTCTGCTTCAGTCCTTGCCTGAAGGTTCCTGCCTGGAGCCCCTGCCCTGCCCTCTCTCCACAATGGACAGAAAATTCTAAGATGAAATCAACCTTCCCTCCCCAACTTGCTTTTAGCCACTGTTTTCTCACAGCAACAGAAAAGCAAACTGGAACACACACCAACTTCAGGGAAGCCTTCCTTGCCTGCCCCCAGGAGCCCTCCCTGCCAGCTCTCCTAAGCAGGTCCCCATAGTTCAGGGCCCCTTTCCTGGCTTTGTTCCTGAGCTGGCTGGGCAGGAACTTCCTGCTGGGAGAATTCCCGGATCCTTCTAGTGGTATAGCCTGGGAGAGAAAAGTTGGGGACTCTCCTTGCTGGCAGGCAGCACCTCCAGGGTAGCCCAAATCCTCCTGCCTTCCCTGCCCCTGCGCCCAGAGGTGGCCTCCACATTAATACTCTGCAGGCAGGAATTAGGGACTAGATAGAGACTCTAATACCTGGCTCACTTCAGGAGTGAGGAAAGGGACAGGGTCCAGTGACAGCCCAGGAAGCTAATGACAAACTAGGCTTTTATTAATAACATCATCTACCGGAGTCTGATGTGTAGGTACAGTGCTGGGCAGGCCCACCACACACACACACACACAGGATGCTGCTGATCCCAAAGCCCAGGGCCACAGGGACTCCTTGGATGTGTCCCAGGAAGAGACACATGCTGGACTGGTGTCCCAGGGGTATGGGCGCAGTGGGCTCCTGCTGGCACAGGCCTCACTCCGGAGGAGGCCAGTTCCCCATCTCATCCATCTCCTCCAGGAGCAGGTGCTGTGGGCAGACAAGGGTGAAAGAAGATGTTCCCAGCTCTACATTCCGGAACCTTCCCACCTATTCTTCCCCATATCACCCCAGCCACCTCTTCTTCACGTTCCCCAAAGAGCAAAACTTCTCCAACCTCTGGTTCCTTGGAAGCTAGGGGTCCAGAAATTCCTTTGTCTCTGTCCCAGGAGGTCTGCATGCTTTCTTCTGAGTGGAGCTTTGGCTGCCTTAGTCTATACCCCTTAGGTCCCTGATGGTCCCCAAAAACTGAGGGGCAAATCTCTCTCCCCCACAGAAAGTGACTCAAAGGGGAGAAGAGTAGAAAATGGGGCCAGGAGAGGAGGATGGGACTTGAAATGCCCACTACTACAGAAGGCAGGAGTTGAAGATGTAACTCTGGCCAATAAAGAGAGGACAGGGTGCCCCACGTGCACTATCCAGGAACTCCCAAGTCTCCTGGTGCTGTCAATGCAAACCCAGGACTGTAAGCCCAGGATGGGAAGGGCAGGCAGGCTCAGGAGGTCCTGGAAGAAAACAAATCCCAGGGCTGGAGCACCCCAGTATAAGGAGAAAATCAGGTGCCCACACAGCTTGTGTGGCTAGGGGCATGGGAACATCAGGCTCCTGAGACAGGGGCATGGGAACATCAGGCTCCTGAGACAGGGGCATGGGAACATCAGGCTCCTGAGACAGGGGCATGTAGACAAGCTTAGGGTTTAGGATGTCCCCAGTGCCCAGCAGGTGTGAATTTCTGGCAGACAGCCCTTGTGTCGTCCCCTCACCCGCACTCCACCATCACCTCACCAGTCTTACCCCCACACACACCTGCACATACCCCCACGTTCTCTCTCTCTCTCTCTCTCTCTCTCTCTCTCTCTCTCTCTCACACACACACACACACACACACACACACACACAGCACACCCCTGCACTGAGGAGCCTGTGGAGTCCTGATGTAGTGTCTCAGCCTAAAGTTGAGATGACACAGCAAAATGGTCTGAGTAGACTCCGGCTGTGAGCCAGGGACTCTTCCCTTTTGTGAACTATAGACCATCAGGGCAGAGAGGCCACTGAGTCATAGACAGGAATGATGAATGGACGGAAATTGGCTCGGAACTGGCATGGATGATATGTGGTCGCATCCCCAGAGCCTGTGTGTGTCTGTAGGCTTTGGTGTGAATGAGAGAGAACAGTAAAAGAGCCGCATTGTTCAGGTGCTAGCCCATCTTAATAAATTTCCCTGTTTGTAATTCCAGCATCGGGGGGAGTAGAGGCAGAAGGCACAGAAGCCCAAGACCAGCCTCTGCTATATACAGTCAGGCTAGCCTGGGCTACAAGAGACCTTGTCTCAACAAACAAACAAACAAACAAACAAACAAACAAACAAAAACCAGTGTCAGTGCTGGTTCAGGTGAGGACTGCTGAGGCAGGTATGCGTGTGTATATGTGTGTGTGTGTGTGTGTGTGTGCATGTGTGTGGATGAGTCTGCATGTGTGTGTGTGCTCTTTGTGTGTGTGTGTGTGTGTGTGTGTGTGTGTGTGTGTGTGTGTACACTACTCCCAGAAAGAGGGTAGTATCTCAGACCTTCCCCTAAAAGAGTCCAGGCAGCAGGGGCTGCAATCAGGGGCCAGGGCCATGTGAGATAAGGGACCTTCATCCCACTTTCATGACTCAGTGGGTTAGATGGATACCCAGGCATACCTGGCCGTCTACCATGCCTGCTTCCTCCAGAGTGATGTCTGGCCGGGTCAGCAGCTCCCGGCCTTCTGGGCTGCCCACCTTCCAGAGGCGGGACTCTCTTTGCACTGCCAGAATCTTCTTCAGCTCCGACTCCACGAAACCTTTGAGGCAAAGAGACGGGCTGAGTGCTGGGGACAGACACTTGATTGCTGTTTCTCTTCCTGGTATGTCTCCCCTAGCACCAACAGACCCTCAAACCACCAGGTTTCCTGTAATGTTCATGGCAGGCAGCTTTGGGGAGGAGTGGGGGGAGCTGATCCCCAGAAAGATTGGGACAGAACACTGGGACTTTCAGATCAAGAAGTCAAGACAGGAAGATTACAAGTTCAAGACTAGACAACTTTGTGATAATGTCTAAAACAATAAAAACAAATCCCTCAAACCTTAAATTCCATGAGATGCTCAAACAAGTGATTTGAACAGGAGCAGGGGGTCACAGAACCTGGACTGATGGCCCGATAGCTCAATGGCCAGAAGCACGGGTGGGTGGAGTGACCAGGACTTGGGACAGTGTGCTCCTGCTAGGCCCTCAACCAGCTGGGACCAGGTGCCATCTCCAGGAAATTGCATCTTTGGGGCTGAATGGGAGAGTTCTGGCAATGTTCCCCCCCCCACGACTCTGCATTGTTGGCTATCTGGCTGGTGTGTGGGTGACTTAGTGTGTAGCAGAAATGGGGTTTGTGATCCCTGAATTCTTCAAGTGTGGATCAGGCAGAGCCCAGGAAATCTCCACTGCATGCCCACCCTCATCCCAGCTCTGTGATTTGATTGGGGCCTGCCGCTGCAAAGCCTTCAGCTGGAGCCAGCCAAACACAGCCTCCCCACACCCCTGGGCTCTTCTTGCAGTGGGAGTGGGAGGCTGTTCCTGGGCGGGGCTTGGAGGGGAGGGTGGGAAGATATTGCCACCAACTGCCCCAACTACCTGAAATGAAGTCCCAACTCTGTCATTAGCAGCTGAGTGATTTGGGCAAGTTACTCAACTTCTCTGTGCTTCTATTTCCATGCCATCCGTGGAGTTATAATGTCACCCAGGTTGGAGGTGTCAATTCACATTTTTGTCTATTGTTGTTTTTAGTTTTTTATTTATTTTTTAATGTGTGTTGTCTGTGCACAGGTGCCTATGGAAGCCAGAAGAGGGTGTTGGATTCCCTGGAGTACTGTCAGTTGTGAGCCACCCACCATGTAGGTGCTGGAAACTGAACCTGTGTCCTCTGCAAGAGCAACAGGTACTCTTAACCACTGAGCCACCTTTCCAGGACAAATGACTTTTACCACCGATTCCAGCTGCCATTGTGTGATGCTACACAGTGATGGCTATAGGGTGGCTAAGCAGGAAACTGGCTTGGAGGTGCCCACCCCCAGGCAGGAGCTGGGTGAGGTAAGGGGATGCTTGAGTGGTCCCGCTGGATGCTGGACTCTAGCTAGGCCTGGAGGTCAACCAACAGTGCAGCCATTCAAGGCAGTCACCGTAAATCTTCTGCTGCCACCTTGTGGTCAAAGCTTGTTTCTTCCCTAAGCCCCTGGCCAAAGCCAGATTCTTGATCTCTTACCCACAGTATCTGTGGACCTAAAAGTCTTCTGCAGTGGAGACTGGAAGGTGGCAACATGTGGGGCACACAGCTTGAGGTAGCTGTCCTCCTCCACTTCTTCTCTCTCCCCTTTCTCCTCATGGGACAAGCCATCCTTGAGAGGAAACTGAGGTACACCTGGTCTCTGAGCCTGTGGAAGGGGTCAGGACTCCAGGCCTGTGTCCCTTCCTCCCCAAAACCAGCAAACAAGAGGAGACAGTTCCCATAAGAAAAGGGAGAGAGTTTCCCCCAGGCAAGCCAGAGGCCCTGGGACCCAGCCCCACTGACCTTGGTCATGGCTGACTTCTGCAGGTGCTTGTACAAGCCAAGGAGATAGTTCCACGGGGTGGACCCCGCCTTGCAAGAGGCCAACCGGAGGTCTCCTGTGAAGCATGGGTCACTGAGGCTGGCAGCAGGTTGGGGAATGCCAGTTTTGGGGGGGTGGTGCTCAGAATAAGCTTACTCTTTCTTCTGATTTTTTTTCTAACATTTAATTTCATTTTTTAAAATTACATTTTTTTTTATTTCTTTATCCTGGTGAGGGGGAGGCACATACCATGGCATGTGTACAAGGGGTCAGAGGACAACGTATATAAATCTGTTCTCACCTTCTAACATATGAGTCCCGGGGAACCAGACTCAGGTCCTCAAGGTTGTCCACAGTCTCCTTTACCTAAAGACCTGTCTCACTGTCCCCTGGTCGTATTGCTTTTTGTGGATTTGTTTTTTGTGTTTTGGAGATGACAGCTCATGAAGCCCAGCCTCAAACTCTGTTGTGTGTCTAAGGCTGGCCTTAAACTCCTGACCTCCCTGACTTGGCCTCTCCACTATGCCTAGCTTTGTTGTTGCTATCCCTTTTCTTGTTGAGAGAGGTGTATCACTATCAAGCTGGACAGACTTTGAACTTGGGGCAGTTTTCTTGCCCCCCTCTAAGCGTGGGCACCCAGCTCTGTCCTGTGTTAATACAATGCCTACTGTGTGCCAGGCCCAGTCAGTCACTGCACCTGGCTCTGCCCTGTTTTACTGACTGCCTACTGTGTGCCAGGCCTGGATCTAGCCCTTTACAAAGAGCATCTCACTGATGCTTGCAATGTGCCTCAGAGACAGGTGCTATTTGATTTCCATCCTACAGATGAGGGACATGGAACAGAGAGAGTCAGTGTTGTCATATGACCTGACATGGAGGAAGTGGGGTTCAAACCTCAGATTATATCTCACGTCCTGCTGGGCTCCCCACCCCAGAAGGCCCTAGAGAAGAGGCTTCCATTTCTGTCCCCTCCCCCATCCATCCATCATACTTACCAATCTCAATTAGGCAGTGCCCCTCCTCTTCCTCTTTGATGAAGGCCCCAGGGGTGAGTGCCAGCGGTCCTGAGACCCACTGCAGGGATCCTTGTTCTGCCTCGAGGGCCTGGGCAAAGTGTTCCCTAATCCCAAAGCAGTCAGGTCAAGTCAGGGGACACCCAGAGACGTGGCCAAGCCCATCCACCTTGTGTTCCTCCACAGACCTGCCTGACCTGCCCTCTTGTCTCCCAGGCCCCTGCTCTATCAGAGTGGTTTTCCTACCCCTGAGAGAGGGAGTGGGAGCTGAACACCTTCCACACAGGGAGGAAAGTCAGAAAGGGCCTGCAAAGGGAGCTGAGAACAGAGGCCCCAGCCCCAGCACACCTGCTCGGCCCCTGGCACAGCCCTTTGTCATCTCTCTTATTATTTTGTTTTGTTTTTGTTATTTGATTTTTCAAGACAGGGTGTCCCTGTGTAGTCCTGGCTGTGCTATAACTCACTAGGCTGCCTTCCAATTCAGAGATCCACCTGCCTCTGCCTCCCTTGTGCTGGGATTCACGGCATGCGCCACCATGCCTGGCTGAGTATTATTGTTTTGTTGTGCTGGAACTAATCCTAGTGCTTCACCAACTATGAACCACACTCCAGCTCCCTGTCCATCTTTGGTGCTCACCCCACACTCCAGCCCACCCTCACACACATCCATTGGCTGATCCCTCCTTCCATTGGCACTGCCCCTCAGTCATGACTTTTATCTATTCGTCAGGACCCCTTGCCCCCAGCCCTTCACCCACAGCTTCCACTCATGGGCCTCCTCCAGCCTGTATCCTGCTCCATCTGGATCATGCTCTCCCTCTCCCAGCCACAGCCCCTCACCTGTCTGAGTCCCCTGAGGCCCCTGAGGCCCCTGCTGACTCTTCCTCCTTTCCTTTCTTCTCAGACAGGTGACCCAGAACCTCCCTGGTTTTTCTGGTGGGGACTGATGACACCTCTACACCCTGGGCCCTCAGCTTCAGGGCATCCTTGGAGTTGAGAGTCTGGGATCCCATGTCCCCAGTGCCCAGGCCAAAGGCATCATGCAGGGGCAGGTTTGAGGGGGCTGCAGAGAGGACCTTGGGTACCGTGGCCTGTAGCTGGGGCTCCCTCCTCCCACGACCTCCCTTGCGGCCCATCCTTGGGGAGACACCATCCTGCTCCTGGGAGGGGCTGGGCCAGCTCCTGGTCAGGGACTTGTTAGAACCACCCTTGCTCCCCACCAGGTTTCGGAGAAAGCGCAACACAGAGGAGCAGCCCAAGATTCGTGACCTTGACCGAGGGGTCCGAGCCTGGGCCGCCATCCTGAGGGACCCTGACTCAGGAAGAAGTCATGGCAGCCAGCCCAGGACCAACTGCTAATAGAAACCTCCAGTTGGAAACTTCTAGGAGTTCTAGAAGGCACGGAGGAGGTGTGGGGGGAGGGTAACTGGAGGCAGTGGGAGGGGTGGGTTGGAAGGAGAGGGCTACAGAGAGCCAGCCAGGGGCAGGCTCAGCAGGCACAGGGAGGCTGGGAGAGTACAGACCCCGAGAACAGGACCCAACACTCCTGTCTCTCTGGTTTGTTCTGTGCTTGAGGTCGGTTCCGAAGCCTGGCAGGGAGTAGATGGCAGCATACATTGAGTCCCCCCTACTCCTTTTTTTCAGGGTGCCGTGTAGCACAGGGTGGCCTCCGTTTCCTGATTCTCTCCTGCATCATGGTCCCCAGCTCCATCCTGATTTTTTGTTGTTGTTTGTGTTTTGTTTTCCACCAGAGGGAGAAGATGGAAGACGAAGAGGGCTTGGAATCAGAGTCAGGGAAGGCAGTGAAGAGAAGGCGTCCCCACTTGACTGGGACCGGCCAGCTGCTTCCAGGCCTGGCCCATAGGACCTTCCTTCCTCCAGGCAGCAGCGTCCCCTCTACATCTGCATCCGGCGGCCATCAAGCAACTTCCTCTAGAGGGAGCTGCTCACTGCCGGGAGCTGTAGGCTCCTCTATGGTCACAAAGTCGCGAGGTTTTCCTGGGCCAGATACAACCCGAGGCGGCTTCCAGACACCATGAATTCAGTGACTCCGGGTCCTACAAGTCACGCCTGAGACCCTGCCCTTGGGATCAGCCACTAGCCCCTTTGGGATCTTTGTCTTCTGCCGAGCCATCCCACATCTGGACCAGAGCCGGGCAGGTACGCTGGCAGCCAGTGCCAAACCTCATCCTCCTAATCCTGGCAGCTCGGGCCCAGGGTGGGGCAGAAAGCCCCGTCGGGAACCTGCTGAGGAGGGAAGTCTTGAAGTTTCCCTGGGTGGTCCTTAAAGCCATGCCAGAGGTCTGATCCAAACAGGACCACCTCCAGCAAAACACCAAGAAGCTTCCCTCCTTGCCCCAGGCTTTGGTGGTCCTGGATGCCAGGCAAGTGGGACTTTTGTTATCTGGAAGGAGGGGGAGGTGAAGGTCAAGGGCAGAGATACAAATTTCACAGTCGATGGCTTGCTGTCCCAGGACCCTGGACTGATTCTAGGTGCAACCTAGCTGTTGGTTTTGAGGAACATGCATCATGGCCTCTGCAAGTAGATGGAATGGGAGTTAGGTCACTTGGATGGGGGCCAGCAGGCTGTGGAGGCTGAGACCCCCCCCCCACCTGCTCTCAACAGTGAGCCTCCAGGGTAGCTTTCTGGGGATGGAGTCCCCTGGCCCTGCCAGCCTGGGATTACTGAGTTTAAGAACCAGGGAAGCAGGAAGAGCCCCCTATTCCGGAAGGAGCTTCTGGGTGGAACACACCAAGCAGAGGGTTGTCTTAATGAGGCCTGGCTCTCAGAAATGAGGAGAGGGTCTTGCTCACCCTGACGCCAGCACTGTTGTGGAAGGTGAAGGGCAGCCAGCCCTCCCCCACCCCTTTTCAGAGAGTAACTCAAAAATAGTCCCCAGCCAGAGACAACAAAGGTGAGTGTATGCTCAGCCCAGGCAGGTAGGGGCTACTGTGCTTGTCCCTGGGTAAGTCTGCATCCCCTTCACTGACAGGAGGGTCGCTTCCTGAAGTGATGGAGGCACCTTAGGAAGGAGTGGACTCTTGAAAGGGGAGCAAACTGAAAGTGAAAGGTCTTGCTTGCCTCAGGAAATAACTGTCGACACCAACAGCCACCAAGACTGGTCAAAGAGGAAAATGGGCTTGGGTGTGTCGAGGTAGAGGGCACCTATAATACCAGCACACCTGTGTCTGGGGCAGGAGGGTCAAAGGGTACAAGACCTTCCTGCCCAGTGAGAATCTAAAGTAAGTTTTTAAATAAACCCACAACCAAAAGAAAACAGAATCAGCACCGAAGTGTAGGGTGGGAGGTGCGTGGTGTGGCAGGCTGGGGTAATGGGAAGGAGGGACACCCTGGGAACAAGCCATGGAATAAGTGCTGACATGTAGCTTAGTTGGTAAAATGCATGTCCAGCACACACAGAGTCCTGGGTTTGATCCCCACACACCTGTAATCCAGCACTCAAGTAGTAGAGGCAGGAGGATCACTCTCTGTCCCATACACAATTTGAGGCCAGGGTGGGCTACATGAGACTCTGTCTCAAGAAAAAATCTGGGCCATCGAGACAGCTCAGCAGGTAAGGGGCTTGCTGCCTGTCAAGTGTGACAACCCAAATTCAATCCCTGGAACCCACATGATGGAAGGAGAGAGTCCTGAAACTTGTTCTCTGCTCTACACACATATTTCATAACACACATACACATAAAATATATACATAAATACAGGTTAAAAAACAAAACAAAAGCTGCTGGTGGTGATGCATGCCTGTAATCCCAGCACTCAGGAGGCAGAGGCAAGCAGATCTCTATGAGTTTGAGGCCAGCCTGGTCTACAGATTGAGTTCCAGGACAACCAGGGCTACACAGAGAAACCCTGTCTTGAAAAACAAAATAAAACTCTGCAAGACAAATAAATGTCTTTCTCTGACTTGTAGCCCAGATATGAGTTTCTTTCTGCACTGATTTTCTCAAAGAGATGCAATGGTTCTAGCTGCACCTGCATTGTGAGGGTTTTTCTTTTCTTTCTCTCCCTTCCTTTCTTTCTTCCTTCATTCCTTCCTTCCTTCGTTCCTCCCTTCCTCCCTCCTCCCTCCCTCCTTTCCTTCCTTCCTTTTTTTTCTTTCATTTTTTTTGAGACAGGATCTCATTATGTAGCCTTGGCTGGCCTGGGACTTCATATGTGACCAGACTGGCCTCGAACTCACCTTCTCCTAAGTGCTAGCATTAAAGCATGGTATGCCATAACCAGCCAGTAATGGGAATTTGGAACATTCTCCTGAGTATCAGGAGTGTGTGGTAGACTCTTAGAGTATGCCCCACCAACCATGGGAAAGTGGACCCTGGAGGAAAGCCTTCATGTCCGGGAGGTGGCAGGCTGAGGAGGGGGTGGGAAGCCTTAGAAACAGCAGAAAGGACCCCCCAGTCTGTCAAAATGGCTTCACCCTGTCTTGGAGTAACTGTCAAGGGAACCGAGAGGCTTCATGGCGAGGCTATGTGTGCCACAGACTGGTAGAGGCCTTGACCTCATCTGGTCTCTTCCTGGCTTCCTCAGCCGCTCTTGTGGTGAGTTTCCTGCTCCCAGGAGATACCACCAGACCCCCAGGGGATTGCAAAGCCTTCCTGGCAGTGGGGTTGGTAGGGCCCCCTCCCTCCTGTCTGGACAACCTCTCGGGGGCCTCCCTCCAGCCAGATGTCCCTGCTCACCTCTCTGCTCACTCTCTTCTTTCCTTCCTCCCTTTCTTTTTTCTTGAGACAGGGTCCACTCTGTAGCCCTTGGCTGTCCTGGAACTCACTCTGTAGGCCAGGCTGGCCTCCAGCTCAGAAATCCACCTGCCTCTGCCTCCTGAGTGCTGGGGTTAAGGTCATGCCACCACACCCAGCCTCATCTCTGCTTTCTTCTTCCTCTCCAGGGTAACAGTGCTGTCCACCAAAACCTGAAAGATGGCATCTGGACAAGGGCCAGGTCCTCCTAGGGAGGGTTGTGATGACTCCCTCTCCCCTTCTGGTAAGAGTCCTCCTGCTCTCCACCATCCCATAAGCACAAGATAGAGAAGGGCATGGGACTGGTGTGCAGGGTGAGGTTTCTCCCCGTACAGGGACAGTTGGAGACAAGGGAAGGAGGCAGAAGAGACAGGCCTGGCTGCCATGTCCGTGTGAGAAAGGAGGAAATGACCTGGCTTATCCCAGTCAGGTCCATGACAGGGGAAGGGGAAGGAAGTGAGATGGCTACCCTTTCTGCTTTTCTCAAGTGGATGGGCAGGGAGGTCAGGCTGCTCCCTGGACTTGGAGTTCATATCCCATGTCTGTGGGAGCTGGGTGTGGTAGGTAGCTCATGTCTGTAATCCCAGCACTTGAGAGCTTGAGACAGGAGTCGCACACATACTAGGTCAGTCTGTGCTACAGAATGAACTCCAGGTCAACCTGGCTAGAGTCTGGTAGAGTGAGACCCTCTCAGAACAAAAACACCAATCCCAGCGCTGTGTGGTGGTGCACACCTTTAGTCCCAGGAGTCAGGAGGCAGGGGCAGGAGGATGTCTGTGAGTTTGAGCCCAGCCTGGTCTACAGAGTGCAATCGATCCAAGACAGCCAAGGCTACATAGCAAGACATTGTCTTGAAAAATGGAGAGAAACCATCCCCCTTCGACCAGCCTGTAGCTCCTGATTCAGTTTCATTTCCTCCACTCTAAGGACTGGGAACCGGGCTGTGGGGGAGAGCAGGCAGTTCAGGAGTGTAGACAGTGGAGGAGGGTGGGCAGCGGGGGAGGGCGGGCAGTGGGGGAGGGTGGGCAGCGGGAGAGGGTGGGCAGCGGGGGAGGGCGGGCAGTGGGGGAGGGTGGGCAGCAGGAGAGGGTGGGCAGTGGGGGAGGGCGGGCAGCAGGAGAGGGCGGGCAGCGGGGGAGGGTGGGCAGCGGGAGAGGGCGGGCAGTGGTTCTGCCACAGGAAGGTGAACTCACTGTAGAGAAAGCCCTCCCTGCTTAGTCCATCCTGGGAAACACCATCATCTGCCCTGAGGTGACTTAGTTGATTCCAGATCCATTGATTTGACAACCAAGATGAACAGGTTCTCCCTGACCTTCCAGCTGCATGACCCTGTGCACATGGCTTGGCCATGTGTGCCTCAGTTTCCCCATCTGTAGGCTGGCGCTCACTTACATGGCGGGACTATCATGAGGAATGATCAGTCTGGGAACACCATGTAGGAGTGCTGTGTGTCTATGAAGGGACTGGAGAAGACCCCCTGAGCACTAAAAGGGGGTGTCGGGGACAGCCTTCCCTTGCTGACTCCCAGCTCTGACCCCCAGAACAGCAGGTTGCCCAGGACACAGAGGAGGTCTTTCGAAGCTATGTTTTTCACCTCCACCAGCAGGAACAAGAGACCCAGGGGGCGGCTGCCCCTGCCAATCCTGAGATGGACAACTTGCTCCTAGAGCCCAACAGGTAAGCTCCAGCCCCAGGGGACAGGTCCTGGGGCCCTGGGCTCTTGTCTCCCTATTTCTCCCTTCTCAGCCTGGTTTCTCGCCCCCATCTGCAATCCTATACTCCTTTCAGGACATGCCTGTCCCCGGTTCTTAGCACAGCCCTCCTGTCCACAAACACTGTCAAGGACCTTCAGAGGAGCAGGGTAAAGTCTGCTCTGACACCCACCCCAGGAGAATCCATTCTCTGCCAGGAACCTGGTTCCTGGTGCTAACTTCCCAATCCCTGACTCTCATTCCTCCAGCATCTTGGGTCAGGTGGGTCGGCAGCTTGCTATCATTGGAGATGACATTAACCGGAGATATGACACAGAGTTCCAGAATTTACTGGAGCAGCTGCAGCCCACAGCTGGGAATGCCTATGAACTCTTCACCAAGATCGCCTCCAGGTACCCATTACTACTCCACCCTGCACACATGTGATGGGCTCCCTGGCTGGGGACAGGGTCAGTGAATTCAGACAGGATCCCTGCCCCTTCTCTGGGTCCCAGTCTTTTGCATGAAAGCTTATGCCTCTTAGGAGCTCTGGCACCAACAACTAGTACCCCAGGGTGGAGATGTCCCCAAGAGCCTTGCAGTCCAGCAGGGACATACCGAAGATGGTAGGTTAATTGTGGCATCTAAGAGGCCACTTGGCACTGAGGATCAAGTCACTCAATGCAATGCTTACATCCCAGCTTGCCACTGGCCACCACTGTGAAACGTCCTGAGAAACAGGGCAGTAACCTAAATCAGTGTTCCCACTTTCAAACCACACCCATGGTGGCTTGATTTTTATTGTTGGTTGCTTTAATCTTTTTTGTTTTTGAGACATGGTTTCTCTGTATAGCCCTGGCTGTCCTGAAACTCGCTCCATACACACAGAGCTGCCTCTGCCTCCCGAGTGCTTGATTTTTATTGTAGGTGTACGGGTGTTTTATTTGCATATATGTACATGCACCACTTGTATGTCTGATGCTAAAGAGGTCAGAAAAGGACCTCTGGAACCGTAGTCACAGATGGTGTGAGCCACCATGAAGGTGTTGGGAACTGAACCCAGGAGTAGGTGTAGAAATCAGGTACACCCAGGTCCTCTGGGAGAGCAACAAATGCTCCTAACCCATGAGCTACTTCTCCAGCCCCTTGTTTTTGAGATAGGGTATCATGGATCCCAGGCTTGCCTTGAACTCTTGATCCTCCTGCCTCAGCTTCCAGAGTGCTAGGATCACAGCATGTGCCACCAAGCTTAGCTGTTGTGCCCACTGCCTTCTCCCTGAAAGAGGGAGTAGATGTAAAGGTGGCAGCCAAGGTAGAAGCTGGTGACAGGTTCAAGCTGGGTGCTCAGAGTGGACACATCCTGCCCCTGCCCCTGCCCTCAACATGGTCCCACCCTGTGCCTCTGTGGTTTTCCATCTCCTAATCTCTTCTGTCCTTTTCTCTCTGCTGTCCCTCGGGCTGCCAGGCCAGTAGCAACTTTCACAGGTAATGTCCCTGCCTCCCTTCTGCCCACTCTTCCCTCTCTGGGCCCTCTATACCAGCAGCCGGCTCATCGCCCTCTCGACTTCCTTTCATGTTGTGACACCAGACTCTTCCTGATTGGCGGCCAGGCCCAGGCAGACTTTCTGACCTGGACTGGCAGCTCAACCATTTAGCTTCCCAGCTGGATTTGTGGGGGTGTTTGGGGGAGGAGCGGAGTACAAGAGGAAGGAAAAGAACTGACCCCCCAAGTCAGGCTCTCCATGATCTGTGGAACCCTTTGCCTACAGCCTATTTAAGAGCGGTATCAGCTGGGGCCGTGTGGTGGCTCTCCTGGGCTTTGGATACCGCCTGGCCCTGTATGTCTACCAGCGTGGTTTGACCGGCTTCCTGGGCCAGGTGACCTGCTTTTTGGCTGATATCATACTGCACCATTTTATTGCCAGATGGATTGCGCAGAGAGGTGGCTGGGTGAGTGCCTGGGGTTGGGACAACCCCCTGCTGTGCGGGCTGCCTAGCCACTCCATAACCCTTGCCTTTCCTCCTGACAGGTGGCAGCCCTGAATTTGCGTAGAGACCCCATCCTGAGTGTGATGACAATTCTTGGTGTGGTTCTGTTGGGCCAATATGTGGTACACAGATTCTTCAGATCATGACTCCCAGGGAACCCTTTGGGGCCCCAGCCTACCCTTCTCCCTTCCCCTCCCCTGCAACAGTCCTCTCCTTCTTCCAATTCTGCAAACAGGCACCCCTGCTTTGAGGAACCACTGCCCAGGGGTCATCCAGAAGGCACGGATACCCCAACATTGCATGGTGCTACTGGGCCCTTGGAGGGACAAGAGGCTGGGTACTATTTCCCAGGAAGTTTGTAACGGTTTTTGCTTTTTATACTACCCTTTGAGGCAGCCCCCCTTTTCTTCCACGGTGCCCAAAGTCAGATCATTGGGGACCTGGGGACCAGTGGTTCTAACCTGTGCTCCCAGACCTCCTGCTACTTTGGAAGGTCAGAACTTGAGAGGGGTCTTGAGCCCACACCTGGCCCTCCCTCCCTACACCTGGCTCCCAGGAACAGGGCTGACACTGAGGGAGCATGACCTGCTCAGCCCCCCTCTCCATTTCTTATTCCCCCACTTCCCTCTCCCCCCTCCCATCCTCTACCCCATTCCATTTTGCCTTTGTGGCTGGACTCTCAGGGATTCTGAGCCCAGAGTGAGGGTGGAGATGAGAGTCAGACCACAGCTGTCTGAACGTGTTCATCAAGGCCCTCCAAACCCGTGTCCTTCCCTGGCACCCTCTCTGTTTTACCCAACCCCCGACCCAAGGACCACTTTCCCAACCTAGTGGGTAGGGGAGACCCTCACCTTCTCCCAGGAGCCCTCAGGCGAGCCTGCCTCCTGGGGAGACCTCCTTGACTAATTGCAGAGCCTCGGACTCAGTCTGACAGGGAAGGGGTGAGCACTCATTTGAAGGTGTCCACGCTAAAGGACTACACCAGCGGAGCAATTGTGGATCTGGGTGCAGTGTGACCCCTTGGGACCTGTGAATACTTGAACCACACCATCACCCATGCTCCTTGTCTGCCTAGACCTTCCTTGGGTGGGGCGGGGTGTCTTCTCTGTCTTGCACAATATAGGGGTAAGGAGAGAGAAAAATTCTCAGTTAAGCCAAATGCAGGGAGGGAGACAGACGGGTCCCCACCTCACCCTCTGACTGTGTCTGGAAATAAAACGTGCAATCCCCTCAACACCCCACCTGGCATTTTTACCCTCTGCTACCTCTTATGCTGGATTGTGGGAAGCTGAACCAACTGGTGAAATTCTGACTCCATACTGCATAAGTCCTTGAGATTCCAAAATCCTGGGTATGAGGCTGCACATGGCTAGAAAATCAGAATAAACCCCAGCCAGCCCTTTGTGACATCCCCACAGGTTCTTAGCCCTTACTCTCATTGTTTTTCTTCTGTGTGTGTATGATGGGGCACATTTGCCATTGTGTATGTGTGTGTGTGTGTGTGTGTGTGTGTATGTATGTGTGTGTGTACACGTCAGATGACACTGAGCAGAAATCAGTTCTCTCCTTGCATCATTTGGGACCTGGAAATCAAACTTGGGTTGCCAGGCGTCTACCCATTGAGCCATCTCAGGGCCCAAGCAGTTTACCACCACAAGGAAAGTCAGGGACCCCTTGGGTTGGGAGCTGAACGGGCAGGTGCCCCACTGAAGGTTCCACAGGCCATCTCTCTCCAGGAGCCACAGCCCACACCAACCTGAAAAGCCCTTTCACACAGCTCTGCCTGGGACACAATGTTCCATCTCCCCTATGTACACACACACACACACACACACACACAGAGCTTTTTTTTTTTTTTTTAAGCTAGGAGTCTTGATGCTGCACGGGAGCCCCTACAGAGAGGCAGCTAGGGGGGATAAAAATAACAAGCTGGGGGCGTTGAAATGTTCCTTTTTGCCTTCAGTCCTGGGCACCCTGGTTTGTGTTTCCGACACCCACCCCAGCTAGTCACATCACGTGTCAGTCCAAGGGGCCTGGTGAAGCTGCACCCCCCCTCCCCTGCCCTGGGTTGCCTCCCTGAGCCCTGTTGCCCCTCCATTCGCCTTCAGTGTGCCCACAGGTGCTGGAAGCTGGAAGAGTGTTTGCAACCACCGCGCCAAGCTCAAACCCAATACTTAAGGAGCCATGTGCCCCCGTGTATACTGAGGACTTCTTTTTGCTACTGGAGCAATATGTGATGGGTGGGTGCATTAGACTCCCACCTTCCAGGAAGGCAGGCACCCTTTTAGTCACATGGGGTAGCAAAGAGCACGAGCTAGAACTTGCCACGAGGTTACTGGCTCAAGGTTTTACCTGGAGGCAGGAAGAGAGGGTCGCCAGCCTCGCTAGCCATCAAGGATCTGGGTGGGCAGAATGTATCTCTAGTCCTCCCGGATGATGACACAGCCCGAAGGCCAAGGTGCTGCCGGAGTTCAAGATGGCCGTCGCAGCTTCACATGTGCCTGAGTGCCCCTTTGTGGGTGGGGTCTGGGAACTAAACTTATTCTAGACCTTCTTAGTTTTGGAAACCTAGGGCAAGGAGGTGGTAATTTTCATCTGCAAGCAAAGTGAGGACCAGGTTTGGGGCTTTGGCTTCTCAGTCCCCCTCCACACCTAACAAGACAAAGTCCCTCCACGCCTCAACCTCACTCATTACTAGGTGCTTCCGGAGCTGCCCAAACCAGGGGGTGAGAAGTTAGGAGGGGCGCATAAGAAGAGGCTGAGAGGCTGCAGATGGACCCTGCAGGTGCTGCGATTAAATCAAGAGCACGCACTCCCATGCTTCAACATTCACGGGTCTCCTGAAACTGTATCTTGTTTGCACCAGATACATCTGGATTTCATGATGTGGAGACCCTGTCTCAAATAAATAAATAAAATAAAATCATTAGGTGTCTATCCAAACAGTTTAATTTAAAGAAAGAAAGAAAAAAAAAAACCCCTTTCTTTACCCCAAATTACTTAGTCTCTGTCATATCCACCTACCCCAGTACATACTTCAGACATAGAGGATCCCAACCCCAGGGCTGGAAAAGCAAAGAGCTAGATACTAATTAATACTGGTCTGTGAGAGACCTTAAAAAAACAAAACAAAGATCCTGGCTGGAGAGATGGCCCAGCAGTTATGAGCGGTGACTGCTCTGGGGGAGGAGAACCTGAACTCAGTTCCCACCACCTACTTCAGGCTACAGCTGGCTACTCTTCTAGCCCCATTGGGTCTGATGCCCCCTCTGGGCCCTGTGGACATCTATCTGCACCCATGTGCAAATAGCTGACTAACACACACACACACACACACTAAAAAATAGGGCCAGCAGTGTGTAAAGTCCCCTGCTGGAGGGTGTGATACCCTGAGACTGACCACCCATGGGACCCATAAGATTCTGGGACGCTGTCCTCAGACTTCCAGATGTGCCCCCACACATAAGTAAGTATATAAATAAACACTGAACGTTAAAGTTCCTTGAGAATGTTTTATGTGCCTAAAACTTTTTCTCATTTGACTTGTAAATCTGTCCTGTGAGGAATTTGTGCTTGGAAAATAAAATCAAGTATGTTAAATTTGTAAACATAGTTTAAATATTTACAAGAACTTAATTAGCTATGTTTGTAAATGGTATGTATGGCTGATGTTCAAGAAAATTAATATGTCAGCCCATGGGCTAACTTTGAACACCAATCAAAGGGTGACTTACTACTTTTTTATTATAGAAATGTATACATTAGGAGCTGGAGAGATGGCTCAGAGGTTAAAACATGGAGTTCAATTCTGAGCAACCACATGGTGGCTCACAACCATCTGTAATGAGATCTGGTGCCCTCTTCTGGCCTGCAGGCAGAACAATGTACACATAATAAATAAATCCTAAAGAAAGAAAGAAAACAAAAAAGAAATGTATACATTAAACAAAATGCACAAGAATTCTAAATATAATGCAAATTAAACTTAAGAATTTAGGAAAGTATGCCTTTAGATTTACAATTTTAACTGCTTTATATTGAGATAGTTGGGTATGATGGAACACAAGATGACCTTGAATTCCTCCACATACTGGGATTTGAGATCACAGACATGTCACCAGCCTTAGAAACAGTTTTTTTTGTTTTTTTTTTTTGAGACAGGGTCTTGAATTAAAGGCATGTTCTACCATGCTCTGCCCAGATTTTTTTCAATGCTGGGGAATCCAACACAGGGCCTCATAAATACAAGAAAAGCATTCTACTGTCTAGGTTGTACCCCCAGCTGTTGAATTGCTGTTGTTCATTTTTTGAGACAGAGTCTCACTGTATAGCCTTGGCAGGATTTGCTGTATTCAGTAGTTTGGTCTTGAACTGTCTTCTCTGCCTCCAGAGATAAAAGGATTAAAGGTGTGTGCCCTCACACCCAGCTATGCCGTGATTACTTTAAGTTTAAGTATACATGTGCACCATGGGAGGGGCACATGTGTGAGGGGCTAAGAAGTACAGAACAGGGCATCAGATTCCCTGGAACTGGTTGTAAACTGCCCAACACAGGTCCTTGGAACCTAACTGAGGTCCTCTGCAAGATTAGCAAGTGCTCTTAACCCCTGAGCCACTTGTCCAGGCCTGAGAAACAGTCCTTTTAAAAAAGTCTAGCTAATAGCTGTTTATATTATTTTGATAATTTTATAGTTGTATTCTTCAAATGACTTAGTGAAAAGTTGTTTTATGGCTGGGCGGTGGTGGTGCACACCTTTGGTCCCAACACTCAGGAGGCAGAGACAAGTGGATCTCTGTGAGTTGAAGGCCGGCCTGGTCTACAGAGATAGTACCAGGATAGCCAGAGCTGCACTGGGAAAACCCTGTCTCAAAACACACACACACACACACACACACACACACTGTTATACTTATTTATTTTTTAACATTTATTCTCTTATGGGGAGACACACATGTTACCATGAGTTGTGTAGGTCAAAGGACAAGCCCTCCACAGGGTTCTTTTGTCTTTTTGTTTGTTTTTCAAGACAGGGTTTCACTGTGTAGTCGGTCCAGGAACTCTCAAACCCACAGAGACTCACCTGCCTCTGTCTCCCACTGCTGGGGTTAAAAGCATGTGATCTTGTTAGTGAGGTTTTCTTCATTTGTTACTGTCTGAGGGGCTTTCTCTTCCTGTGTGCTCCCCATTTTTCCTTCCTATCCTGCCTCGGTTTTGCCCTTTGCCACTGGAATTCATGCAGTGTGAACAATAGTGATTTCCCACTAACACAATGTCGAGACCTTTCACCATCATTGCTATGGTTATAAACGACAGGCCTTCCTGTTTCTCAGTCTGGTTCTGAACTAATTATACAGCTGAGGCTGGTTTGTGACTCCTGGTCCTACCACAGACTCTCACCTGGCACCAGGGACTGATGCAGAGAGTAGCATAGGGAGACTTCCAAAGCTGGGATTAAAGGGATGTGTTGCAGAGCCCAGCCTACTTAATTTATTTTGGATTAAAAAATGGTCTCACATTGTAACCCAAGGCTATTCCTGAAACTCATAGCAATCCTTCTGCCTCGGTTTTCCAAACTCTGGGATGACAGATGTGGCACCTGTCACCACACCTGCCTACAGCTTTTCTGAAGTGCTTGTGCCCATGTTAATTATCATGAATGCTGCCATACAGTGGCATGGGAACTTACCCTGTAGCCCTGATGCTTTATACCTGTTGAACAACAGTTACTGTCTCAGTCACTGTGGCCATTCACTTGTACTGCCTGCAGATCAAGACGTAGAACCCTCGGCTACTCCTCTGGCACCTAGTCACACTGCCATGCTTCCCTCCATGACGATAACTGTAAGCCGCCCCAGTGAAATGCTTTCCTTCATAAGAGTTGCCATGGTCATGGTCTCTCTTCACAGGAATAGAACACACTGACAAGGACAATCTGTAAATCCTGATTTGTAATTTCAGCTCTAGAGGGTTCGGAGGATCAGAAATTCAAGGTCAGCTGAGGCAACAAGGTGAAATATCTAAAAAAAAAAAAAAAAGTTCAGTAACCCTGACTCTTTGCCTGGGAAGAGGGCAAAGGCTGGCACAGTCCTGGGCTCTCCAACCTGCTGAACTTACAGAGCCCACCAGGCGCTGGAGAGGGGGTTTCCAGCACTTGTTGCACAGAACCTGGCTTTGGTTCCCATCACCCACACGGCATTCCACAACTGCCTGTAACCCCAGCTTGAGGGCATCTAAC